TTAATATAATATAACTGTAATGGCAATAATGCTAACATCTAATACTCTTATTTATTAATATATTACTATTGTTTATTATTATTAATATTCATTATTATTCTTATTTTTTAATATGTTACTATTATTTCAAACCTTTAAGCACTTTTGCACTGGCCTTCAGTTCCGGGTCTTTATCCATAGTGTTCAGGGACATCAGTAACTCCTGGTACGCTCTCAGGGCAAGGTGCATCCTAGAAGCCAAAGGGATACCATGTTCAAAAAGCTTTGGCCTTACAGTATTTATTCATACATTTGTTCATTCATTTATGACAGAATTTAATTCAGTCAAATATCTGGATACTTTTGTCAAATCAACAAGTAAATATGGACTGTATGTTTGGCCCAAAAATTATAATATTTTTACAATCATATGGGAACTTAGAATATGTTAGGCACTTTGGTAATATTTACTATAATAAAATCCTAAAATGAAATTTTGGTAATATTTACTTTAATAAAATTCTAGAATGAACTTAGCTTGAACTTGTCTCATCCTTGCATCTTGAAAACCAGATTTGTTTAAGTCATACATTTTCCATTTCCAGTGCAATAAACTGATAAATATTCCAACAAATCTCACCTTTTAGACCAGGTGACCGCTTCTTTCTTGTCACTCAGCACGGTCTCATGGTACGTCATTAAATTGGTCTGGATGTAATGAAAGGTAGGCACAGACATGGTCTCACTGGGAGAGAAAATAACAAATCTTATCATTTATTTTGTCTTTTGTATACATTTCATATATTCAGTAAAATTCTAAAATATACAGTTACACTTATCTTCTGCTGTTGATGGTCTAGTCAAATTTGGAGCAGAAATCAATACTACTATGCTACAGAATATAAAATGACTTTGTATGATTGTCATATAGGAGTTAAAGGTTACTGACAAGGTTCATTATCATCAAAATACCAAAACAGAGGTTTTTCGTGCAAGGAATTAAATTGGTGTTGAAACAGTGTTTGTGGGTATCAAGAAATTTGAGAAACCAATTTAATTTGCAATTTTTTCCCTGATAAAATGACATCTGTATAAATGCAATATAATTTACAGTCAAATATCTGGACACTTTAGTCAAATCAACATGTAAATATGGACTACATGTTTGGCCTAAATTAGAATGCAATAGAATTTACAGTCAGTGGTCATTGAAGATTTATCTGTTATTCAAAACATGTAAATAAAGGCAGTCATTTACGAGTTTTTGTCTAACCCTGACAGTACCCTGAAACAGTAACACAGGTGATTTTACCTCACTAACTCCACCCTGAACTTGTACAATCTATTGAACTGCATGAAAAACCTCATGGCCCACAGGTAATAGCTCTCATCATTCTCCTGAGCTTTGGAGTGCAGCAAACTATCCTGAAAATAAATGAATAAAAGTGCGTTCTTGATTAACAGGTAATCAAGGTGTGCACATCTTACCTGGAAATTGCTCAACACAATAAAAATGCCCTACAATACACTTATAATATAAATCAATACTAATCGATGCTATGTTACCAAGTTCATTGTCCTAATCTGTCAAATACATATCAAGTACATTATTGCTTTTGGAATCTTTCATAGTTCAAAATAATAATAATAATGATGATGATGATGATTATGATGATGATGATAGATAAATAAATAAATAAATAAATAAATAAATAAATAAATAAATAAATAAACAATTAATTAAATAAATAAATGTATTGTTTTAGGAGTCCCACCTTGACAGCATACATCAAAGGATTGTAGCAGTTCTCTAGCAGCTGAATACAGAACTCCTTCAGAAAAAGCCGAATGCTCAGAGTAGAACGCCTTGTCAGTTCTTGGCTTTTGATTGGTTGACGGTTCTTTGGTTTTTTCTTTGGTTTCTTATCTTGATCAAAGCTGAGGTTTTTAACCTCTGCCAAGGAGCGGTGGTATATCATCTGATTTTCGCTGATAGATTTGACGTTCTTCATCACATATGTGCCGCCAAAACGAGAGTGTCTGAAATCAAGTTCCAAGATATTTCTTTCTGCCAAGAATTTAAAAATGGCTACATGTATTATCAGAAGTTGCTAATATAGCAGTAACTGATTAAGTTAAATAACAAGGGTAAGTCAGTAGACAATCCAATGAAGAGCCGCATCAACTAAACAGAGATGGGTAAAAAAGAAATTTAGTCTCCTCACGACACCTGTCACATACCACAGTTTAAACTTCACATACCCTGTACTCATTTCAAACTTGGCCAGCAAAATTTTTTGATACTTAAATAAAATCAAACGTGCTATTTCGGATTAATCCACATTAACAATATTTTCATTCGTCGAACAGTGCATTGCATGCACTGCATACCTGGAACTGTACTTCATGACACATGCCAGTTTTTGAGCCTTCTCTTTTTCACGAATGAGGTCCAGCTCTCTAAAAAAAGATAATAACAATAATATTAGTAATAATAACTATTAAGAGAATATCAGTAATCTGCAAATGTTATGAATAATAACAGCTATTTAAAACATAAGACTATTATATTTTAAGAGAATTTCTAAAAAATTCTAACAGAAATTAGATACAATAATTAAAAACATAATGATCTCACTGATGCTCTCTTTATAACTCACTTATCCTCTTTCTGTCTCTCAGAATCTGTCTTGGCCGACCCTGCTGACGCCAACTGCTCTGGTGTCTGGAGAACAATATGCACTCACATATGTAATAAATGCCATTTAGACAATAATGGATAACTATAAAATATTGGCAAGATATCAAATGAAAACGAAACCAACCCCTCACTTCTAAAAAGCAATTCAACTGTTTGATGAAATTCTTGTAGTGTGTTTGCAGTGTGCATTTTGTCAAATGCGGTCATACAAAAAAACAAGCACAAGCTACAAATCATGCCTCAGAACCACTGTGTTAACACTGAGAACCATGGAGCTCAACAAGACACAAGTCCTCGGAACTCGTCAACATGGAACTCTTAAATTTTGCGCAGTGTTTGGTCATCACAGGCTGGGATATTGCAAAAACTATCTTGTAAAAACAAAACTCTGAAGATTAAAAATCTTTTGCCCAACAATGCCTTTTTCATCATGTAAATAATTTTGATATGAAAATAATTTGTTGAAGCAGGCAGCTTTCAAAATCGGTACCAAGAAAAAAGAATCTGATGCAACTTTATTTTAAGCCACAAACTATCGTCTTTATCACAGCAGTTTTAAGAGCTGTACGCCTGTGCTTTGCGACTAATCAAGTAATGAACACCTAAGCAAGCCAGGAAATGTTCACTTCCATACAAACTCGTGTCTCACCTGTTCCCGAAACATAAGAGATATGATCTCCAACACGTGCATACTGAACTGACGTTCATCATCCGAGCTGGCGACATACAACAACAGGTCCTCCATACCACTGACATGTAGAGACCTATAATAATATAAGTAAACAAGATTGTCCTAATCCTTGATTTTTATCTAAATTATCACCCGAGCTCATTTTAGAAATCTTTAACTGCTGAATACTAAACATTATTTTTGGGCAAATTATTGTAGATTTGGATTTAAATCAAAATTTGGTGGAAATCACCTTGCTATTTGGCTTAAAGATATCTGAGCTGAAGTGAAAAAAAAACATACCTGCCATAATATCAATTTAATCTACTTTCTTTGCTGGTAGAGTATCCACCCCAATGTGAATGTAATTATAAAACATACTTACCACAAAAGTTGGTCATGAATACTGGCATCGTCATCAGTTCTCTGAAAAATAAATTAATTTTTTTATTCTGGTAAAACAGTTCACTGATGATGTGGCATTCAAAATCATTGTCAGAATTTCTCAGATAAACAAAAAAAGATCACTGGGTATAACAATTCAATGTTGATGAGAGAAATAAACAATTAAACCCAATTTTAACTCCTCTTTTATGGGACCAAATATATTTTGACCAAATAAAGCCAAAACAATATCTGTAGAATAGCACACACACACACACACACACACACACACACACACACACACACACACACACACACACACACACACACACACACACACACACACACACACACACACACACACACACACACACACACAACACAAAAAGAGAGAGAGAGAGAGAGAG